GTCACAGAGGCTGCTAGGAGGGGGTGCCACTGAACTCTGTACCTCAGAAAAGCTGCTCTCTCCAATAGCTGCAAGGTAACGCTCATCATCTAATTGCCAGAGCTTCATCTCTTGTGACATTATGACCTCTGGCTTGTTTTTTACTGCACCAGCATACTAGTTTTCAAGGACTTGGTGCATCAAGCTTCAGAAGTTTCTAATGTTGAGCAGGGTGACATGTAGATACTTAATACCATCCCAGCTCACGCTTACAAGTCACTGAAGACACAGAGATTGAGATTCAGCTCCAGTATTTTATAGCACAAATGTGCTATATGTTAAAACTACTGATAGAGATAGTGGAGCCTGGAAGCACTTCAGCTGCTCAGGTCCCTACTCCAGGCTAAATGCAGTGAGCATCCGGGCTCTACTGACTGACAATCGGATTTCTGCAGACTACAAAGTTAGTTTGTGTTGTCTGCTTGTGAGCAATGTAGACTGTTCTTCCATTGATTTGAAAATTAAAAAAGAAATGATATTAACTTCAAAGGGAAATTACATGCTAGTGTTTGATACGCTAATGCAAGCTTGCCTATTTTTATAGGTAAGAAATCAGTCAGGGTGATCCCATCAGCAGACTATCATGAATCCTCCTGGAGGCTGGGTCTTCAGAAGTCCAAGCACAGACTGATTTGGGCACAATATGCAGGAATGTCTGTTGAGACTTGGATCTAGGGTGTATAATTCTGAAGTCAGTGCACAGAAAACCTTCCAGCAGTTCTCGTTGGCTCTGAATGAGCTCTGAATCCATTGCTTGAAGAGCTCTCCACAGTGGTCAGCATGTGTCTTGGAATCTATGAGGTTAACAAGTAAACAACTCTGCTGTTGACATTTTTAACAACAAAAGCAACACCAGTCCAGGAAACTCAAGCCACGAAAAACCCCCTCATATAAACAGATGCAGGAATGATCAACACTTTTCCTGCTCCAGAGGCACATTAAACAACCAGATTTTCAAACTCAGAGTGGGCCAGACAGGATGACACTGTGAGAATGATTGAGCCCTGCAGTTCCCACAACTACAACAGGAGAAGTGAGAAGAGACCGCGGAAAGACACAGATGGAACAGAGGAGACAGATCTGAGGAGAGCTCACTTCCACCAAGGAACAGACAGCTTGTTAGACAATGCCACACTTTTCTGCTAAGGAAGACAATGATGGCCGCATGGGTTAAGATAAAGGAGCTCAACGTTCGCAATTTTCCTCTGATGGGCAAAGATTCTGCCACAAGAAGACTTCCAAGTACATCTTTTCACATATTGAATGACAACACAATAAACTGAAGTACAGACCACGAGTTCAGTAAAACTAATCCCATCTGATCTCCGATCAGGAAATTTTAAGAGAGAAATCTGCACCCACTATACAAAATTGTCTGTTTTGGGCAGACATTCCATCTCATTTGTTCTAGAGATATATAAGAATAATATTAATATTTCATACTTAAAATAACAAATTGTGCAACTATTTCAAATTAGTGTAGGTAAATCTTACAGAACTTTTGAGTGCTCAGCAGCACAAAATTAGCTTTGAAGTAGCCTTTTAATTAAGTAGTGAAATAAAACCCAATAAAATAGCAATGGGAAGCTATCTTCATAATTGATCACTATTATATGACTTCCTGGAGCACTGACATCAATTATGCTCATATGTCAAAACAATGTTGGCACTCTGCCAGAGAAGATTCAGGCCAGGGCCAATAATTTATGTCTTTGTATCTCCAGAAATCAGTGAATGGTTTGGTCAATTTCTAACTGTTAAATGCTAATAATTTAATAGGCAGCATAATGAATGACAAGTCAGTAGCTCTTCTAAGAACTGTCTTGTTATACATATAAGTAAAAAGGAATAGACATTCATTTTAACTAGCTTCACTTCAAGCCTGCAGCCACTCGCAGGTACAATAGACCAAGACTTAATAATTATGGAGCTAGATAGTTGTTCAAAGGCCTTTTTCATTCCAGTCTCACATATGTGACCCGTTTTATCAAGGAACCATTCAAGCCTGATGTTGACAAAAAATGAACACCACTTTTGGTATTTTATGGCACTAACGTGCTTTTTCTCCACTAACTGGTAACACTTTTCAGTTACAGAAGATTCAGTGCTTCTTGCAGTGTAATTAATTATTGCATATGAAAAACAAAACACTATCAAAACAGGATATCGAAACCAATCTTTTATCTTACAAACATGAAAACATGGTACAGACTCCTACGTAGAGGTTGCCCTCAGATGCCAATGCTGGCTTGCAGTCCTGCATTGAAGGGCCTGATAAATGGCAGCCCACTGAGAGGCTGTTTATGTAACAGATTTATTGGAAACCTTGTCAATAACTTACATGTGCTTTAGATAATTCTGTATTCAGTTGCCAGGAGACTTGTGCTCCTGATGAGATAAAATGAACAGGATATCCTCTATAGCTTTGTCACTTTTTTTCACTAGTAAATAAAATCAGAACAAGTGTTATAAAATGCTAAGTACTATAAGCAGGAAAAAAAAGATGAGCACTGCATATTTTAAATATACAGCCCCCTTTGCCCTCTCCAATTATAAGATGATAAAAGATCACCTTTATAAAGTAGAATGACCGGATTTTGTGGAACGTGGCTGTTTTGGCTCCAAGGTATTTGTAGCATTATAGTATCAGAGCCAGGATACAGCTGCCTTGTGACTAAGATGTCGTTCACTTGAATAAGTGCTATCCAATCACTGGACGTCACCAGACATCTGTTTCCTGTTTTCATTCTTTCTTTCACTGTTATCATTTTATCCAAGTTACCCTTTCACCTGAAAACCACTTGGAAACCTATAGCAAGCAGTGCGTGCACACGCGTGCGGGTATCAAAGAAGTTGACTTAGGAAAAAAATCTCTGAAAGCAATTTGTTCATTTTAATACAAAGAGCAGGAGCAGAAACAAAGTTGCCTTCCCCCCTCTCCTCCTCCCAAAAATACACAATGATACATAAACACTTTTGTCTTCTGGTCTTCACTAATATGACTAACTTCCTTCTTTGCTTCCAGTTAAGTAGCTTTCCTGTTGAGTACCACCACCTCCACATAATACAATTGTGAATTGATTCATAAAAACAGAAACATTATGGCACAAATAAGGGAAGGCAATAAATACTCTTCCCCCTCCAACTCCTTCCCAAATGGAGGTGGCAGCATTGTAACAACAGCAAGGAAAAAAAAAAGTAAAAATAAGTATTGCTTGTCATTTAAGTTTCCAAACCTACAATCATCAGGATGCAGAACAGGATACATCTAAAGTGAGAAAGTTATTTACTTCACGTTCAAGTTAACACTCGCTATACTTGTTTTGGCAAGCAGTGTTACTTTTGAGGTGCCAGAAAAGTGTTGTGCACCTTATAAAAAACTGGTGTTAACACCAGTGAGAGCAAATTCCTGCTATTCACAATCCAGTTTTATATTGGTGTTGTTTTGCTGTGCTTCACCTATACTTCAGCTATAAATCAGGAGAACGCCCATTATTAACAGCATCTCACACACATTAACAGACAATAGAAACTGAACTGTAAATTGTCAAAGAAAAAAAAAATTACTTTCCATTGCTAATCTCTGCATTCTGTGCTAGTTATTCTGCATGAGAACATTTCACTTTGTCTTGTAATTACAGATGTTCATACAGATTGCCAACACCACTTGCTGAGCAAAGCAGAAATCTGAGTTGACAAACACCAGCAAGAAAAAAAAAAAAATGCTGCTACTTTTATTCTCTGAAAGAAAAAGCAAATGCTTTTCTTACTGAAGCACACAAATGAAACTGCAGGTGTTACAAATTAGAAGCAGATTCTGGCACTTGGAAGGCTTTCCCTAAGTGATGGGGTGGTTTGTCTGCTACAGGAAACTATAAGCAGCATTTCCAAAGGCACATAAAAAATTGGAAAGCAAGCGTTATTCTTATGTTCTGGTCTTCCGGACTGCTTCCTGCATCTTGATATCCAAATTATCCCTACTTCAATGCCAAACTCAGCTTCCATTAAAAGTTCAAGTAATTATGAAACATCTCACTAAGTTGTGAAGAGTCAGATCAATCACTCACAGATTAATTTAAGATTCTCCTTTCGATTTACTGCGTGGTTTGTCATCCCAAAATGCCCAATCCTAAGCATCCACATAAAACTTAGGATTGTAATACTTCAGTATTACTGATAAAACAAGCAGTTGTTGGAAAATATTTACCCACTTTGTGTCAAGCTGTTCTTGTTACATACTGTGTTCTACAAAAAAAATTTGCAGGTTTTTTTTACAACACCTGAATTAGTCTCCTACCACACAGTATGACCAAGTTGAAAACTGAATCCTTACTGTATGTTTTGTCCATCACAAATGTTCTTCATTCATCCTTCATAATCTAACGTCACTGGATGCACTATTAATATTCATTGTCACTGAATTCTGTGCATGTTCAGCAACAACATTATATCTGCACCTGGACAACTTTAAAGTTCCATTTGAATAAAAGCAGTTGTTAAGACAGTTATCTTTTGTTTTTGGAATTCAGATGAAGTTCTTTCAAACTACACACTGTGGCTTTGGTAAATTCCATCTGAAGCAATGACTACAAGACAAAAAAAAAAAAAAAAAGAAGCAAATTGTGATTTTTTGGCAGTGGCAAAATCCAGAACATTGCTATGAACTTGAAGAGGTTAACGAATTCTTCTGTACTTTGACAGTTTCCAGTGTTATTTTATTTTCGCCATCCAAGAAAAACTGATGGTTTATGTGTTGGAAGTGTTCAAGGTAACATTTTCTATAACACTAATTGGAATGCTGTATAACAATTTAAAATATTTCAGATTTTTGGATTGAAGGGAAATCCAAGTATAAACTAATTATTAAGTCAAGCTACTCTTCAGAAACATCCACTGAAACGTACAGTGCCAAACTATTTTTTCTGCAAAAAATATAATAGGCAAATAATAGCAAGAGAAAATGCCCAAATACATGCTTTATTTCAGACTCCACACTGCTTCCAAATGTTAAGACTTTTCATACACGGTGTTATGAAAAAGAGCAAAAGCTACGCCAGTAGATTACATAAACAAAAACTTCTGTTTTGTCTGGTGTAACAGGAGTCTTAAAAAAAAACAAACACCACTTCGTATCCATTATTTCATATCCAGATGTTTCCTGTACACCTGCAGTTGTCTCCAGTCCTGAAATCACGAGCTATAGTATTTTAGCAGCCTCTCATCAGTTGGCTTCAGAATTTTCTTGTCTGCCATGTTTACGATCCATCCTGGAGCAAGACCAAAAAATATCTGCCTAGGGTCTTTGCGCGTACTTAACATTTTGAAGAGCTCATCCTTAGTTATGTCTGGTAGGGTATAACCGTACTTCTTGGCAAGTTCAAGTCTGGCTTCTGCAACCTTAGATGGATCTGCCAGGTAGCCACGATTATTGGCATCTGTGTAGTAACGCACCAGGTCTTCAGGGGGAAGCATTCGCTTTGGAATAGGCCGGCCACGCAGGAAAAATGGGACTGGCTTAATTAAAATCTCTGCAAAGAAAAGAGATCAGATACGATCTTTTATAATCATTATTTAGGGACAATAAATTACACTCACTTAGCATTTTGTGCTGAATAACATATTAAGCTAACTTAATAAAAACATACCAAGCAAAAACCAAATCTTAGGAATATTCTTATTCAGAATGAAATGCCATTTTCCTATCCAAACAAAGACATGTATCATTACAAATATCAGAACAGTCTAGATGAGTTATCATTTCCAATACATTTATAATGCCTTCATTGGAAAGATAACACTGAGGAAGATGGCATCTTCTGGCTTAAAGCACTGGCTAAGATGTTAAAAATCACCATTTACACAGTCAATGAGTGGTAACTTCAGTGTTTCCTTAAGTATTTTAAACAAAAAAAATCAATAGGAAATTTATTTAGATTGGACATAAGGAGCAAATTCTTTACTCAAAGGCACTGTAACAGATTGCCCAGAGAAGCTGTGCATTCACTGACCCTATTCAAAGCCTGATCAAGTGGGTGGCAGACAAAGTTGCCACCCACTCTGTCCACAGTGGGGGACAGGGAGATAGAACTAGAGAATCTTCAAGGCCCCTCCCGAGCCATTCTATGAGTCTATCTGGGCATTTGGGAAACTGTCCTCGCCTCATTTTTATCTACAGTTAACAAAATACATTTCAGATGTTTTTAAACTAAATATTTGATCATTTCCTGGATTAGGGAAAAAAAAGAATTGCTTGTATCAGTCCAGGACAACATATTTTGTACAAAAGAAGCTTACTCTTCTTGTCCTCAGCCTCATTCACACATGAAAGCTCCATTATTGTCAATAAAAATGGCATGAATGAATACCAGGCAGGATGCAGCCTCGAGCAAAGCAAAGCCACATTCTTCAGTGAAAGTGTTCTAAAACAATAGCCATTTTTATTGGAATGATTCTGACCTTCTCTAACTTAGTTATTTCCTCATTTTAAATGGAAAGCAATTTTAAATTAAAAATATCAACAACCAAGCGTAATTTAAATCAATCTTCCCCTGAGTTTCCCAAGGGTTATTAAATGTGTGGAAAAGACAAAAATTCAAAGAATCAATCCTTTATTAGTTCCTTTGTTTACACAGCAACTGACATTTCTTAAACTGGCTGATAGGTAAATAACCATTAACACCAGTAGGGCTAAACAGACGAACATTTTAAGAAAAAAGAAAATGGAGGAGACACTGCAGGTCAACATTTATATAATGTATCTTTTGCTTAAGCTTTTAGAACGGATGAAGTAGACAATTTTCCAATAAAAACTACATTTGAAATTTGGACCCTTAATCTTCATATTAATAAGTCAGAAGTCAACAGAAATTCTTACCCAAACTCCTTGGATCGTAGAACGATGTTGTAACAACACCTCCATTTTTTTCTATAGCTGCAATTGCTAATTCAGATGCCCTCTGCACTTCAATATTTATTTTTGCTGCAAAGATATCAGCACCCTGTAAGTTTCAATACATATTAGAGTAACATTAACAGGAGTATTTTAAGGCATACATACATTCTTCTCTGCAAAGTTATAAGAAACATTTTATCCTGAAAAAAAACCCCTATGATTTGTCTTTATTGTCCCAAATTGCTCTCAGTCACATGGGTTCAATTAAAAAAGTTCATACATTTATTTTTGTATGTTCTGATCTTCTGTCCCAAAATAATTTTTGATCTATCGTTAAGTTTTCCGCTAACTGTTACTTTTGTCTGGTCTTAAAAGATCTCCCTAATATTTTGCTTGCACATGCTGCCCTCTAGTGGATTTGATATCATGAATTCTACAGAAAAGTAATTTAAGCAAGGATGCTTCCAAAGAAGGACAAGTGGACAGTCTAGTGTGGAAAAAACTGAAAACCCAAGACTTTACGCTGCCTGAAACAATATACCAGTAATGTATGCCTACCTCCTCCACCAGCTGGACACCATAATCCCGTTTGAGAGGTTGCACTGTTACACCTCTGGCATTAGTAAGCTGTGTTAAGTCAATGGGTTGTGTAGGGTCAACTCTACCCAAATCAATCAGGTACTGCAGCCTCTTAAGACTGAGCGGATGATATTGACGTCGGCAGCTGGCACAGAATGAGGGGGAAAAAAAAGGAACAAAAATAAATGTACAAAATTCAAACTTTAATAGAGCTGGTCAGTGATACACAGTACATCTTCAGTTTTCTACCCAGTCTTAAAACAACCAAGTAAATGCTTGCAGAAGACTCATCCATAAGCCAGATTGAGTCTTATTACAAGTCCCAGTTACAGATCAAGATTGCACTATGGGCTCAATTTCCACCCTCCAATATGACATTGATCCTTTTGCTGTTGACAAGTCGCTTGGTTTAAGGAAGCAGCAAAACATTATGAGTTAAGTATAAGCATTTCTTGCTAATTCAACAAGATTCTGAATAACCACCACATGAAAGTGAATCCAGCTGGGTAACATCACTGTAATACCTTTGGAAAATCTGACAAAAAAATAAATCAAGACAAACTATCACCAAGGAAAATTAAGTATTCTGCCAATAGCAGTCACCTTCAGCAGAATCTTCTGTTGCCTTTTATAAAGTTGTAACTTAACTACACAATCCAATCCTCATAGTTTCCCCAGTTCCAGTCTCCCTGCCTACTGCACAGGATTCCTGCTGATGCTCAAAACTACCCTCTTACAATCAATTTGCTGCCACTGGAAATCTGTGAACACTTGTAGAAAAACTGAGAAGTTTACCTAAATTAAGCCGGGGGGGGGGGGGGGGTGAGGGGGAGGAAGCAACAGAATTAGTCTCATCAGATAGCTCCTAACAGAGCAAAAGTTGAAAAAGTAGAGGATTAGCACTGCAGACAGGAGAAAAAAAAAAAAAAGTGAAGATAAACTCTAGAGACATTGCTGTCTCTGGAGAGCAGTTAGGTTGAAGAACCTTTTGTTATTGTTTCAATGTGTACTCAATACGATTACAAAGCAGTAGGATCCTTTAATTTTTGTCATTGCAGAAGCTTGGATTTCTATTGTTATTGTTTAGTAACGAACTGCTAACGTGAGAAGCTCAATGTTTGCATTCTGTAGCATGTCCTCTGTGGATGAAAAGCGCTTCTCATTTACTCTTATTGTAAATTAATCGAAGAGGAAGAAATGACAGTAAATGGAAATATAATTTAAAACACTTCAAAACTAATAAGACTTGTTGAAATAGACTTTAGTAATGAAGACAGGTCTGTATAAATTCATGTATAAATTGAAAATATAAAACTGAACAGCTATTTGCTGAAGTTATATCAGCAAATGAAACATTAAATCAAACTGCAAGTTTAACAACTAACAAAGACATCAGTCTTTTCCTGCATGTGGCATGTAACAGAAGTTACTAGTACCTATAACAGCACTGTATGGACATAGACGTTTTTGTGACCACAGTAAAAGGAAGAAAAATAGATAAAAAAACCTAACAGTTTTCCATCTGTAGTTAAGAAAATGAATATGAAGACCAGCACACAGATCCACCACTAAGAAAAGAGACAGAAGAAAAAACAGGTTGGGTGAGTAATATTAAAAAGTTAGAAGAGGGACAACGGCACAAATGAGCACAACGTGAAAAGGGTACAGAAGTATTAGACATAGGGAGAGCACCTGATAAAAACAGTAGCAAAGGACAATTTAATATCTGGCAGATTTGTTATTAATGAGCTTTTTAAGATACTGGGCAGAACAGATGGAGCACAGATAGACATAAATGGCACCACTGCAGGGCTAAGCGAGTAGAGCAATGAAGAAAAGCAGAATTGCTTGGCTAGCAGACATCAGAGCTCCAGGTGAACAAAGCAAACTCAAATAACAAAGAAAAGCTACACTTTAAAGCCTAACATCTTCACAGGAGTTCATTAAAGGCAAAGTGCCCACTTCCACTCAACTCAATTGGCTATCTGCTGTGACAACAGGCATGGAGAAAAACAAGGAAGTTTGGAGGAGGGTTCTCAGAAGAGAAATAGGCCTAATTGTAGGGGATAGACTGCTACAAATGAGAGATTATGCAAAGAAAAGGGCAAACAAGAAAAACTGCAAAGCAAAATGAAATAATTTATTAAAATAAGTAAGTATCTCATGAGAAACAGGAGATTCTGTTTGTAGGCAAGGTAACTGTCAGACATAACTAGTCAATAAAATGTTTTGGTATAGCAGACATTCTGGCTTCATGAGAAAGCAGACTGATTGATCTGTGTGCTACTATGAAAGAACTTACCTATGTCCCTCATTAAACCCGTATTTTGGTATGGTCAAATAAAATGGAGTCTGGCCACCCTCAAAGCCTAACCGGGGGCGATTTCCTCTTTGTCTTTCCCCTTTGTGACCTCGACCACACTTTCTACCCCTGTATCGTCCACGGCCACGTCTTCTCTCCTTGAAAATAATAAATAATACATTTAGTTAACTACTTTCTAGAGAAGAATCTTTAGAATATAAGATTTCTGAGACATAACCAACACAACAAAATGCCAATTCTTAGTGGGGGAAAAGAGTTAAAAGCAGCTCTTTTATAAGGGGAAAAATGCTCAGAAAAGCAGTTAATGCGGGCTTTTTTGACAGTCAGTTCTTGGTAAGCATCACAAATTGTCAAAAGTTTACATGAACACATACTGCAATAAAAGGAATAGTAGTACTTAATCCTGCCTGTTACACATTCTGCACTCTCCAAGTTAAACAATTTTGCTGAATTAACTGTTGATATTCCCTCCTGTTTAATGAAAAAGTTGCTTAGTGCTCAGCAGTTTATGAATACTAACAATGGAAATCAAAACATTTCAAGATGCAGAGGAATAGAAAACATCTGCAATGCATACACGTAATTCTTTTCCAGGGACCAAGATTTTTTGGGAAGTCTGTAACTACTGACTACAAATCTGAAGAGGATTATATTTCAATCTTTTATTAGTGCTTAAACTAAGGCTGTGAAACTATGCTGAACTTCAACTTAGCACCGCAGTCACAAGTAGCATGTTAGCAACCCTCTCGCAACAGCATTTGCACAGCTAAGTGGCAAATAGCAAATGAAAAAAAAGGTATCAGAAAAGATTAGTTACATCATTTAGCAGAACACAAGTATGCAATTATCTACATAATCACAAGACAGGCATTAAACAATGGTGGAAATGAGCATCTGGTTGTACCAACTTGAAATGAAGCAGTGTCAGCCCACACTGACCTAGCTATTAAAAATCTACTGTGTAAGATTACTTTATCTTACATACCAAAGATTTTGTGGAACTAAAGGTCGCTTTGATTTCCTCATGCTTTGTCAGGGATAAACCACAAGCCTCAGATTCCTCACCACTGTGCTGTACAGTTAAGAGTTTGCTACTGAGCTCCAAGAGGCACAACCACATCTGCACATCACTTTGATAAAGGCATTTGATTCTACAAAGTCTTTTTCCATTTAATTGCCTACGCTCTCGTGTCTCCACAAGTATTTGCTGTTTTCCACTGTATTCTTCAATCTGAATCAGTCATGCTGGGAAATACGTAAAGCAACATATTTTAAACACGATTTGTAACATTAACAAGCAAACTTTGATATCCTAAGTCACTCCATAATCACTGTTGATTCAAAAAATAATTTAAATAAGTCATTAGTAAAAAGATTTCACTAAGTCTCTTCACATTCTAATTTTTCGCATCCAACTCAGGCAAACTGTGGGCACTCCTAATACTGTAAATCATGCATTGCAGTTATACTGCAGCAGGGAATATTTAGTAAAACTAGGATTTGAGAACTGCCACAAAAACAAAAAATCTGTTGTTTTTTAAAATGCTTTTTATTAAGTTACGGAAAACCTAATGTACACTGGCATGTTAAGAAAAAAGCCAGTGTGGCTATAAATAACTTTAAAAAAAAATCATTAACATACTTGAAACAAGGCAAGGCTTATCCGTATTAATATTAAATAGCACAGAGTTCCAGTGCAAGTTCATGCTGGACTACACTACTGCCACTAATGGAAGCTGTCTCATCCCTAAGCCACACACTTGCTGCTTAATTTACAGAATCTCTTGTGCTGCATAGCTCTGCATTAGATAAATCAGGAAATTAAACCGGATGAAAATTATTTTTTGTCTAATTAGTTTTCAGGGATTTCATTCCTTGATCTGGCTCACCACAGAACCTTTAGCATCAGCACAAATACAAAGCAGGAGTGAAAGTACTTGGAGGCAGACAGAGGGCATTACTGGCCCATCTTTTCTGGCAGCTGCCTGCACACACACCAATTTGTGATCAAAAATAGGAAGCAACTGGTATATTAACCACATTTTAGATTGTCAGTGGGGCTAATCAAAACATTTTGGTTCTTTTCACAACATCTGTTAGTGAAATAACATGCATTTAAATACACTCATTTGAACTGATCACATTAGTTCCTTTAAACCTCAAGTTTAGACAACATGGGTGTGATTAGCTTGAAAAAAAAAAAAAAGAAAAAGAAAAAAATAAGGACACCAGCCCCACATAGGGTCTCCCTTCCAGGTTGTTGTGACCTTGACAAAGCTGCATCTAGACAAGCAGCTTGAAAGTAAAACCCCTGATAATTACAGTGGGAAAGAATATCGGTTCTCCTGCCATGGCATGGGCCTGTGTGATTACAAACATGCAGAACTCAACAGGTCTGTTAGCATCTCAGGGGGCGCACTGCCAGGGATGCCTGGTGTTCTGTTTGTTCTCTATTCCTATGACTCTTCTTGCCTCCAGCTGGGCTTCTTTTTATTACTTCTCTATTGTTTTATAAGTAGGGATGAGAAGAGAGAATTCAGTTTTGTTCTGGAACAATCACTGCTAATAACAAATGCTGGCTGGAATGACTTTCTGTCTAGCCTCTCCTTTTTCATGCGTACTGTTACTCCCAATCATAAATGTTTGGTATTTCATTTACTTTTTAATGTAGCTCAACCACTGCAGTAGCCCTAAGGCCTAGTTAGGGCCGCCCATCAGCCAGCTGTCCGTGGAGATGGCCACATGCACACAGGTTTAAGGGGTACGGGGCCACCCCACCTCGTTCCAACTGGGCAGCTCTCCCAGGCCTGCCGCGGTCTCCCAGAGACCTTGCGACGGCCCTTGAGAGCAACAAGGAGCCCGAGACCCACCCGACCAGCCACAGGCACTCACCGGCTTTTTTGAACCCGGGCTGGGCCTCAGGTTGGCCAAGCTGACCTTAGGCAGCGACCGCAGTAGCTGCAGAGCCCCATGCACGCCAGTCCCGCTCATCGCCACTGCCCTCCCAAGGACGACTGCGGCGCTCCGCAGGCAGAGCTGCTTTACGGCAAGAGCCGTAAACCGCGCCTCCCATCACTGTCGCGCAATGCCATAGCCGAAGAGGAAGGGAGCGTGGAGAAGGTGGCACAAGATGGCGTAGGTCAGGTTTCCGCTCCGCTGGATAGCTGCGAGTGGGCTATGTGCTGCGAAAACGGGGAAGCGCGAGTGAAGCGTCAGGTAGTCCTCTCAGCAGACAGTGCCAATGGCTTTGGACCCAAACTGGGTTTAGTTCTTCACTCCTGTGTTATTCGCACTGCCCTCAGCCCCGTGTTTTAAAGCCAAGCTTTTAAAACCGACAGGCTGCTTATGAACAGGAGTGACTTAGGGCACGCAGCACACAGATCTCATAGAAGTTAGCATGCAGCTCAGCCTGGTAACCTTTACTGTTCTGCCAGTAAGCAACAGGTGAGAGGGACATTTGGAAATCGAGTTACAGGCTGAAGTCTGTATTGCTTCTCCTGGTGTTCAGAAACACCAACTATCTAGCAATATACATAAAATGCTGGTATGGGAAACCATCTGTGTCAATTTCAGCCACTAGGATAGGGGAAAATACACAGTTTAGAGCATGTTCTCCCTTGTAAAATTCTCATTACCATAAATTTTGTAGAAAAATATTCGTATGCAGATAACTCACTCTAAAGACATCCAACTCATGAAGCTTTGAAAGATTCACAATTTGGAAGCTAATAGTGTCTCCCTCAGGAAGACGAACCTTGTGCTGTTTGCCTGCAGGCAGCAGGCTGCCCTGTGCCCCACTGCCCTTCTGCTGTTGTGCAATTCCCAGCCACCCTGTGTGCACAGAGCTGCATTCCTCCAGCAGCTCTGAGCAGCACTGGCAGGGATGGCAGTTCAGCTGAGGTCAGTCCAGATGCAGTGATCAACCACTTGGCCCAGCTGTCAGCAGGCATCAGGCCCTGCACAGCAGAAGTTGCATCAGGTCACCTCAGGAAGGTTACCTTTGTTGAATAAAAAAGACAATCTGGTAAACATCATTGTAGCAGATTTGAGTTGGGTATCATACGTGTTACAAGAACTAAAGCACAGAGATAAAACATAGAGGCCTTGTTAAAAATAACAATATGGCAATAGTGGAAACCCCCTACCATAGATAACAGGTATCAAAACAGCATCACCAGTCATGGCAAAAGAGGTTGTGTACTTGAAGTTATACAGTTGGTGCAAAGACCTCTCCAACATAATTTATGCAGCCACGCTGACAAAGATAGTAAGACATGAGAAGAATTTACGTAGTAGAAAACTACCCCTGCCTGGTATGGAACATGCCAGCAGGATGGGTGTGCTTTCACACAACACAGTGCACATTCAGCTGCTGTTTGAGTTGCCAAACAGTGACTGAGCTCCGACAGATACCATCCAGCAAAATACAATGAGCAGATTGACTCCCTTGGAGGAAGTATCTGACAAAGATGCATGAAACAGAAGACAAAGCATTTCATTCTTACAGCAGTGTGTTAACCATACTAATTCAGAGTTTGTCTGAGTTCTTGGAATGAACAAATGAATAAGAGGCATTCACTCTTTGGCCATAAACCACAATTCACTGATGCAAGCATTTGATCTGACAGGGACAAATGAGTTCTGTCCAACAGCGTTGCCTGCTGTTGTTTCGGGGTTTTTGTATTGTTTTGTTTTTTGCTGTTTTTCCTGGTTCCCGTGACTTAGTATTTGCTATTACTCCACTAAAAAACATTGAGATTTCCTTTTTCCCCAAGCCTTTCAAAGCACAAAAACGGATTTTTATAAGAAATAGTCAAGTGGCAGACATGATAGCGTAATCTGGCAGACACTCAGATTTGAAAGCCCATTGAAAGCTAGTTTTAAAGGTGAAAGACAGTTCAGTCATAGAATTATTAAGGTTGGAAAAGACCACTAAGAACATGTAATCCAACCATCAAGCCATCCACACCATGCCCACTAACCATGTCCCTCAGTGCCTTGAACACCTCCAAGGACAGTGACTCCACCACTCCGTGGGCAGCATGTTCCAATACCTCAGCACTCTTTCTGAAAATAAGTTGTTTCTAATATCCAACACGAACTTCCCCTGTGCAACACGAGGCCATTCCCTCTCATCCAATCACTGCTACCTGGGAGAAAAGGCCGACCTCCACCTCACCACAACCTCCTTTCAGGGAGTTGTAGAGAGTGGATAAGGTCTCTCTCTTCTCCAGACTGAACAACCCCAGTTCCATCAGCTGCTCCCCATCAGGCTTGTGCTCCAGGTCCTTCACAGCTTCACTGCCCTTCTCTGGACACACTCCAGGGCCTCGGTGTCTTTCTTGTAGTGAGGGGCCCAAAACTGAACACAGTACTCAACACATGGCCTCACCAAAGCTGACTACAGACAATCACTTCCCTGCTCGTGCTAGCTGCAGTACTTCTGACGCACTCCAAGATGCCATTGGCCTTCTTGGCCACTTGGACACACTGCTGTCTCACGTTCAGCCAAACATCGGCTAACACCTTTTCCTCCATGCACAATCCCTTCGTAATTGCTGCAAGCCCCAAAGCAGAAGCAGCTGTGTAGAATCTGAAGAAGCCCAGCGCTGCCTTCCCTCAGAGCTGCCAGCACCCAGCAGCGCTTCCCCTGCGCCGCCCCGGTCTCCCGCCAACCCCACCGCAGCCAATCGGGGCGGTGACGGCAGGAGCAGCCCCGCCCCCGGCCACCGCCCCGCCCCGCCTCCCGCCGCTGGCCGTAGTCCCGCGGCCGCCCGGCAGTCCGGTGTATGTGCGGCAACAACATGTCGGCGCCGATCCCTGCCATCGTCCCGGCCGCCAGGAAGGCGACGGCCGCCGTGAGTCCGGGCGGGAAGTGGGCGAGACAGCGCAGGTTTCGGGAACCCTGACGGGCGGCAGCCCCCGCCCCGCTTTGTTCTCCGCCGGGCCGGGGGCGGCGGCGGCCTGGGGGTGACGCCGCGGCGAGGCCGGGCCCTGCTGAGAGCGGGCGGTGAAAGGCCCGCGCAGCGCCACGGGTCCCCTTCGCCTGGTGCTGGAAAGGTCGCAGTGGAAAGCGGGCGTGGTGCCGCGCGGCGCTTTGGGTGCCTCCTGCGGGCGGTGGGGCGGGGGCTGCAGCCCGGGGGTCTCGCTTTCTTGAAGTTGTCTTATAGCGCGATTTTATTTTTCCTAGGTGATTTTTCTTCACGGACTGGGAGATACCGGGTGTGTATGTGGATGTGTTAGTGCCTGCCTGTAGCTGTGAAGGGTTCCGAGTGTGAGGTTGCGTGCCTTAGAGATGGGAGCCGCTGAAAGTTGCTTAAACTTCGTACTTTGCTGCATCCGCTCGGCTGACTGCACGATTGTCAAAATCTGAAGAAAGCGTGCAACACAGAGAGTCAGCGTGCATGTTTATGCGATGTGGTTTTTGCCGTTTGTCAAATTAGTCTTTACACGTGGCTAAAAGAAAAAAAATCTCCGATTTTTTAAATCTAACCAGGTCTTCTCAGTCATCTTTTTCCTTTAGATCCTTCTTTGGTCTTTTGTGCTTTATTATTAACACTCTGCGAGTCAGATCACCCACTCTTTGTTAGTAACATATTTTGTACTGGTAGGAAGCAGGTTGCCATCTCCAGCCTGGATTTCAAATGCCTGTGCACTCCATGTGTTTGAAACCGCCTTCACTTCATGCAGTGTGCATTAACTTTTTAGGATGATACTGAAAACAGGGTGTTATGGCTGGTCTGCTGTTGGTTGAGTAAATTCAGCTATGTCACTGAGTTTGTTACAGGTGTTTTCTCCTTAGAAATGTCTCTCTGTTACCCGGTGTGCTGAGTGAGTTAGGGGTGCTGAATAATGAGAGAAGTCAGGAAATCCAATAACCGTTGAATGTTTGAAGAAAAGTACAGACACAGCCAGCAGTTATGCACAGATTCGGCTTTGGGTCCAGTTGTGTACAAGTGTAGTTCAGCCCTAGCGTGGATCTCACTGAGCTCTTAATTTAAATGGTGATTACAATTACCTGGTTTCTAGGAAGCTTGATGGCCCATGTCCTGGGCAAACCTTGGGCTCTGTGCTTTCATGCAGCACATGCTTGAGATTTGAAAAACTGCCTGATTCTGAGAGCATGCAGGCCATCCGAAGTCAGCATGCCTGGTTTGATTGAGTTGGCTCTACATGGTCCGTGCTTAGGTGTTGGTTTTCTTCTCTCTGACATCAATAGATGCAGTCAAAAATGAGAAGGCTGCCTGTGGAAAAAAGCTGCCTTAACTCTGCAGAAGCAGCACAGTGAACTCTGTGCCAGTGCTGAGTCTGGAAGCAGTACACATTCATATGTTCGTATGTTGCAGTGCCGAAGCTGTTAAATCCAGCCAGGTAAAGAGTCGGCTTTAAACAGAGCCTAAGTGGTATTTCTGCAGCTGTGACACAACTGTGATAGTCTAGATAAAATTGGATAAGGTGTCCCTGGCTGTATATACGCAACAAATACTCAGAAGCAGGATAAACCTTTACATTTAGTAATGTATTCACAGCATATTGGACTATCTGTACAATTCTTCTAGAAATATTGACCTTATTCAGCAGTTTTATATGTGCTGTGTAGTTTCAGCAAGATAAACATAGGAGCTGAGCTAGTACATAAACGACATACAATGTGTTTTTTGTTAACAGGCATGGATGGTCAGAAGCACTTGCAGGTATCAAAAGCCCCCATGTAAAATACATTTGCCCACACGCGTAAGTTTGTAACTTTTCTTGTTCCATCTTTTCTGTAGTTCAATACTGAGGTAGT